AGAATTACCATGTAAGGAAGTACTGTGCCTTGAAATAATGTATAAAAACAGGTCCTGTCTACCAATGAGTGATTCAGATGCCCTGCCAGTCTGAGTTCATGTCTCAGTTGCTGACAAGTCTGGGCAGTGACATTATCCTGTTTCCTGTTTTTTTGATAGTCAGTTTATAGGTCTGTGTGATTAGGTAAGAGAAAGATCCTAGATTCATGAAACAGGTTTGAAAACATGACCACAGGAGATGATAAAATTAAGACAAAAGCTAAAGATCACCAAAATTGCTGGGAGTTATAATGTGATTATCTAAAGCATGTCATTTAGTGACTCATACCTTGGGTTTTCAATACCTGTACTGAACAAAGACTCCTCCTCTCCTCAGTAGTCTGCCAAACAGGTTGGGAAGATCAAGTTTGGTATTCCTAACAACTAATGTTCTAGCTGACCTACAAAGCAAATTGGGCTAGAGGGAAAGAAAACTCCTAATGCTTCTCTTTTTCTTCAAACTTCATGGGCTTTACAAAAGTGGGACGAAACTAATTTAATACAAATTCTTTGCCGGTCAGCTTCTAAAAGATATCCTAATCTTCTCCCTGTGTTCCTTACTTAAGTGTAGAACAAGCACAGCTGCCAAAAACTTCAGAAATATTCACTAAACACTCAGCCAGCAAAGCTCACTTTGCAACCAGCTGATATATGGTCTGGATAAAGATTGAAAAAAGTAAGTAATCCTTGATGTCTCTTGGCTCAGGTAAATAAAATTTCTGTAGAGTGTAATAATGTACTAAATTGCTCTGCCTCTGACCCCCCCAGCCCCATTTGGAATAATTCAACATGAGCTGAATACAAGTTGACTATAACTGGGAAATCTTTCTCCTTTGTTCCCTGTGGTGATATAAGTACATAGCAATAAAGATGCAACAATCATTAAGGATAGTTTACTACCAGATTAAATTGAATCTACAGAATCTCAGTGTGCTTGTATGCAGCCCAACTGTAGTGAGAAATCAATAGCTTTTTGCTGATTTTGGCCACCATACTTTTGATCAAAATGGAAAAAGCTTGTGCAATGGGACTGATTCTCCAATGCAAGCTGATTGGTGTGTTGCAGCTTTGGCAGAAGTCTTAACAATGGTTATATCAGTACATACACTTGGGGAGCTGATTAAATGCTTAATTCATGCTAACTGTGAATTTTATGTAACTTTGAAACATAATTGTTGATTATGGAAGCTGCCTGATACCTGCCTGAAGCTTGGCTTAGCCCTCAGCACACTGCCTGACTCACACTCTTCTTCAGACAGTGGATGACTGTTCCCTGGAATTGCAGAATCACAAAGCTCATGGGCAGTGTGTATGGAAAGTTTTAGTTTTACTTTTTATATTGAAAACATATAAAATTCAGTAGTTTTTCTCCCACTGTCCTTCAGGTCTATGACCACAATCCTTACATGTATATGTGAGCCAAAGAGACAGAGGGATTTGCTCAGCATTGTACAGTTAAAATGACGGGGACATGAGAATTATTACTTAGATTCTAGGAACTTTTGCTGTAATTGCCACAGATGCAAAGCTGGGGGTGTGCAAGACTTGGGGAACTTAATAATGTGTCCTAGATTCTGCATTCATGTCTTTCTCTGCAGCCAGCTGAATCTCTGAATGTGAAGGCATATAAAATGAAAGCAAGTGATAGTTTACAGACAAGGTAGCTGGCTAGAATCTGGTTTTGGTGTTTTGGTAGCTTACAGTTCTTCAACATAAGAAAGTGATTCAGGTTTTTTGGTTTGGTTTGGTTTGGTTTGGTTTGGTTTGGTTTGGTTGGGGTTTTTGGCTGCATTTGTTTGTTTGGGTTGATGTTTTTGTTGGGTGTTTTTAGGGTGTTTTCTGTTTGCTTTTTTTGGGAGTGGGAGTGGTTTTGTTGCTGTTGGTTTTCTAACAGATTACTTTTTCTACCACTGATTAGGCTATCTTGGGAGAATATTTTATCAAAGAGCCACAAGAAAGCAAATTACATATCCAACATGATAAGCAAACGTGGGAGCAAGCTTCAAGGTAAATTTGAAAAAAAACTTTCATCTGTGAAACTTACAATTTCAGTAATAGTGCACACAGAGGGCTCATTGCAAATACAGTTGGGCAAATAGCCATAAAATTTCCAAAAGGCTTTCTATGCAGTGTTTTGTAGCGCTGATGTCCACTTCCTTTGAAATAAGATAGAACAACATAAAGAACAACTGGGTAAGAAAGAGAAAATAAACTTCCAAAATACTGTCAATACTATAACAAAGAGACAAACTAAATTAGAGTTAGTGATTTTATGCTTCCACTTGAAAGAAGTGCAAAACAGGATGTTTTTCTGTTCTGGCTTATTTGCATATTTCTTTTGATCCAGAAAAGGAAGGTTAGTGTTGTCTATTTTCCCACTTCCCAGAGAAAGAGACCCAGCTAAGGGAAAAACAGAGCCTTCTATTCCAAATGTAACTACTTAAAAGGTGTCAGTTAGAAGAAAACATATGTGGGACAAACTGCCAATATTTTTTTTCCTCAGCAGGAAAAATTAGGCTGGTATTTTTGAGCAATACTAAGTTCATAACACATTATGTGTACTAATGAGCATCTTCTTGAATCTCTCAATGTGTCTCTTTCCTGTTTTTGATTGTAGGAAATTGTACTGTTGCAGTGCTTGCAAGGTCTTTCTACTTGCCAAGAGATTTGTATTTATTTGGCATTTTGTCACTCTCCATATACATACCTAATAATCCTACAGCACAGAAAGGTGTGATGCCTCCCTAAAGGATTGTTTTGAGGTCATGATTGTACAATTTACCTTTCCAATATTAACTTTGAAAGAGGAAGACATCACTTCCAACTGTGTAGCAGCTTCTTTAAAGCTACCATCAATTGGACAGTGAAATTGTCCCTCAGACAGTAAACGCATATTCAGAACAAAAGGAAAACTGTCTGAGATTCCAGCTCCAAGGCAAGCAGTTTCCAGCTAAAATATCTAAATTTTTGTTAATGGACAGGGTTTCCTTTCTTGGTCAGGAAAATGAATATTTATAAATTTACAAAGGGAGAAGGGAACATTTATGAATTTGCTGGAGGGAAGTCTTCCCTAATGGCACAGTGTGGGTTTTTCTGATCTGCAGGAAAAATTATGAAGGAGTCCTTAATTTGTCATTCATATATATTTGACAGTGCTACCTAATGAGGTTGGTAGGAAATGCCACCCTTTTCTGAAAGCAGTGCAAAGGAATATTTTGGTTATCTTATTTACCACATAGTTAAACAAACCAGTGGAAAAACAAGTTAAACAAATAAGTAGAAAGCTTATCTTTCTTTAGATATAATTTTCATGCTTTTACTTTGTTAAAATAAAGTGCCCCACCTAAATCTTTCACACAATTCCAGTACACGTGAACCAAATTTTTTTACCTTATGGATATATCACTGGCATCAAAGCCTTGTAGGAATCCTTTTCCTTTATTGTTTGTCCTGTAGCTGAGAATCAGGATCAATACACTACCTCTGTAAAACTGATTCTATAATATTGCTCTTTACTGCTGCTGCTGCAAAGATCATCTTACAGTGTTTTCAAGGCTTAACTACACTGCTCCCAGCTTGGGTGTTTCCATCATACGGTGATCTACATACTAGGGTGTATAGATTAAACTATTCCACTTGTTTCCTTTTATATAATTTGGAGTTCTGAAATATCATTATTTTCACATTTGTATGGTATCCAGTACTTGAATGGAAAACCCATTAGTAAAGAGCAAAAAGAAAAACCAAGCCAAACCAACCAACCAACCAAAAAGCCAAACTCAAACACAAGGAAATCACCAGACCATGTTTAAATACTCAGTTATTTAACCTTAGAAGCAACAATTTATATCAAGAAGCTCTTTATTGCAAGTGAAACTTCCCCCATTTCTGAGCAAAGTGTAATGATGAAGAAGAACTTGGCACGAGGCCGCTACAGTTTTAGGAACATGCCGGACGCGGCCCGACATCGCACTTGACTCGTGCGCACATGCGGGGCGTTTAGAAAGGCCGCTCTTAGGGACAGAGAGGAGGCGGGGGTGCCGCGGAGCGAGGAAGGGCAGCAGCGGTGGGCAGCGGGCCGGCGGCGGCGGGAGCTGTCCCTGGTGCTGCCGGCACCCCCCGCCCGAGCGCTCCGCCCCAGCCCGCCCGTGCCGCCGGGAGGCGGGCGCTGAAACCCTGCCCTGGCGGCGCGGAGCGTGCTTGCTCCCAGAGGCCTTTGTTTGGCTTGTAACTTCTTTAAGGAAACAAAAAAAAAAAAAAAAAAAAAAAAAAGAAGAAGAAGAAGAAGAAAAGGGGTTAGGGGTTTAGGCGGTAGGGTGAAGACGTCGCAGCCGCGATTCGTGTCTCAGTGAAGGCTGTGGGCACCGCTGAACTCGCTGTCTTTCCAAGCGTCCCTGCCAACTAAAAAAGCAGAGACAGGAGCTCGCAGCTCACCCAGGGGAAGGGAAGGAGGGGAGGCCACCTCCGCCTTCTGCGCCTCGGGTGCCGATGGGTGTCCCGAGAGGGCGAGGGGGCAGCGCCGGGGACCGGGGCCCTGCGGACATTAGGCCGCGGTCCCGGGGCCATTCTCCTTATGTCCCGCTCTCGTTAAAGTTTTTTGCTACTTTTGCTCCTCCCCTTCCCCTATCCCTGCTTCCCTCGTGGCGGTCAGGCACTGGTGCAGACGCTGCTGCCCTCAGGAGAATAAAATAATAGACGAACATAAAAGAGGAGAGAGAGCCCGTCCCGCGGCCCGCCTGGGAGCCCGGCCCTCTCTGTCGCCGAAGAGCTGCGCAGTCGCTCCGCCTCGTCAGGGAGAGGCCAGCGAAGACACCGAGATGGGCCGGGTGCCACCAGCTGGGTGAACAAAAGGGGAGCCGGGAGCCTCCGCGCATCCTGGCAGGTGGAGGCGGCCTCGGTGACAGCACCGCGCGGGAACCTCCGGACCGGGACCGCCGCCAGGGGCGGGGCCAGGCGCTCCCATGGGCAAGGCCCTCGATTCCCATGGGATCGCCGCCAGTCCCGGGCACCGCGGAGCGGCCGAGTGGCGGCTGCGGCGCCGTGCGGGGCGCGGCGGGCCGGGACGTGGCGCGGCAGCGGATGAGCTGGCCAGCGCCGCCGCCCGCGGGGACCCGCAGCGCCTCGGGGAGCTGCTGGACGGAGCGGCCGACCCCAACGCCGCCAACTCCTACGGCAGGACCCCCATCCAGGTAGGGAGGCGGACTGTTTGCAGCTGGGCGAGGGCAGCGGCCCTCCGTGCCCTGCCCGAGGGGGCGGCGGCAGCCCCGGGCAGCAGCGGGCCCTCCGGTGCCCCGGAAGCGGCCGCCCCCCGTCACTGTGCTCGGCCAATGTTGAGGTGGTGCGGCACAGGGGTTTTTCTCGCTTCTCTGGGAACGAGAAAGTCTTCTTTGCGGTGACGGCCGCAACAGGGAGGTTTTAGTCTTAGCAACCCTTTACTTTATTTGAACCAACTGAGATAGGATGACTCAAATCCGAGAACTTTAATGCTTATCAAGCAATAAACGTGCAATAAAATGTAACAAGTCACGTTTGTAGAAATAATGTCTCTTTCGTTATACCTCGTCTTCTGCTTTATATGACTGTATGTTTTGTCTCCTCTCCTGTGAAAAAAAAAAAAAAAAAAAAAAAGATATTCGGTGGCTCTCACGAACAGAAATACCCGGTCGCGATAACCTTGCCCAGGTGACGCTGCAGGTAGACAACGAGCAATCCCTGTGGGGCTCAGTCTGCCCACATTTTACACTCCCCTGAACGTGTGGGTCGACGTAGCGCCCGGAGGTGTAGTAGAGGTTACCTTTATAAAGGGTGAGTTCGTTTTCGAGGTAGTTCTAGACAGCTTTTTCTTAAAATTTCAAAATAAAACGAAACTGGAATTATCTGAGAAGCTATATTTAAGTTTTGCTGCCAGTGCTTGCAAAACACTCTCCGACTCAAAATGTCGGTGAAGCATTTCACTCGAAACAGGTATTTGTTGCCGTCCTGCAGTGCTTTTTCTTTTTTTGTTTTGGGAATTTTTTTCCCCCAGTCTTCGCGGCAGGGACTTATCCCTTGTGCTGAACGCACTGCTGGGTGCGCTAGGGAAGGGCTGCCGGGCACGTTCGTACTGCCTTGGACACGCGGGTGAGGCTAAAGGTTCATTCCGTCCTGACGGTGAGGGAAGACGCGGTGGGTTCCCTGCATTACGCGCTCCCCTTGCCAAGGACACTCTAGGGAAGTGTCACGATGCCAGCGGAACGACGGCGGCCCCCGCGAGCCGCTGCACTGGCACGATTCCGCGGGGACCGGTGCAAAGCGACTCGGGACTTGACCTGGGTTTCTCTGGGAGCGCTGCGGGAGAAGGGCGAGCCCCTTCCCCCGGTTCGTCTGCTCCGAGCATACCGACGCTTCTATCGCGGAGCAACCCCAGTGTGCATCCACACGCCCCGACCCCGGCAGGAGTCCCGCACCTCTCTGCCCCACCTGTTCTCTCCTGTCCCCTAGCATGGGTAAAGGAGAGTTTTCCAATGCGGCACAATTCCCCCGACTGGTGCGTGTTCGTGGCACGTCCAGAGCCGATCTCTACGCCTCGCCGGCGGATTTTCTTCTCCTTTCCATTGTGGATCTCCATTCCTTCCGGGCCGAGCGAGAAAGCCTAAGCTCTATGGCGGGTGCTGACGCTGTCTCTCCCCGCAGGTGATGATGCTGGGCAGCCCGCGGGTGGCCGAGCTGCTGCTGCGGCACGGAGCCGACCCCAACCGCCCCGGCTGCCTCCCGGTGCACGACGCGGCCCGCGCCGGCTTTCTGGGGACTCTGGCGGCGCTGCACCGGGCCGGGGCGCGCCTCGACCTCCCCGACGGCCGCAGCGTGGCAGCGGGGCGGTACCTGCGCGACCCCTCGCCCTGTGCCCCAACCTCTTGGGGAGGGCCATCCCCTCCCCAAACTTATTGCCCGTGCCCAACTCGGGGGACACCAAGTGGAACAGCACTCATGCGATGTTGTGAATAACCCCGGATCGCGTTTCCCTGCTGGATGCACGAAGGGCAATATTCTTTGCTCATGACTGTATATTATCCTGCACTGGAAATACTATGGCCGTCCCCAGGCCCCTTTTTTCACACAAGAGTCCAAACACTGAAGAGAAATATGAAATATGAAGTGAGAAAATACTAAATGTGAAAATATTAAACAGCAGATATTGAATATTAAATATGAAGGAAAATCCCCGCAAAGAGATACGGTACTATAAACCTTTCCTCTGTTCTGATGGGGCTGCATCTGGACTTTCTGCTCCCCCGTGGCTCCCTGCTCACACTTGCTAGCCCTCCATCTGAAGAAGATGGGGGAGGTCTCAGGGTCTCCCTGACCTGACAGCTTCCTGTTTGATTTTGGTTAAAGCGATCTGAAGGGGTGCTGAAGCCAATCTGCTTTTCTCTGGCAAATGCTTCCTGGTGTGATTGCAGCTTTGGTAAATACCTTATTAAAAGCACGTAGGATGCTGTGCATGTCTGTACACGTACTCACAGCTTTCCTTACACGTACTTATAGCTTTCCTTGAGTAGGCTGCAACTATAGGAGCTGGAAAGAGAAAATAAAGAGAAATTTGTTTCTCTGCAAGCCTGATACGACATGTATCCTCAGTTGAAGTATCCTCGTTGTTTTAACAATTTGCAAGTGACCTCTTCTGAGTTATAGTACTTCTAAAAAATCACGTGATTGTGAAACCAAGGCAGCCATAAACGAAAAATTAAAAATCATACATCTGAGCTCAACTCCAGTGCTTCCCAAGATGCCCGAAGCTGACACATTTGGTGAAGAAACAAGGAAACCTTTGAAACAGCTCTGCTGCTGGCAGGGGAACGAGGAGGGGGGCTATCTGTTATTTCTATGACAGCCGATACATGTTTCACTGGCTGCTTCGGCGCGGGGGAATTGGATACGAGCACCCCAGGAAAAAGATACGGCGGCAGCCCAGGCTCTGCCGAGGTGAAAGGAGGAGGTGGGGAGAGCCGATCTCACGGCAGCGAGTCCCCAGGCCCCCAGGGAGGTGTGCTTGCGGGAGCGCACAGACAGCAGCGAGCCGGGCGGTGAGGCAGGGGCGCTGCTCCCAGCCGCTGCGAGACAAGAGATAGACCCTGCCTCCCTCCATGGAACACAAGTGGGGTTGTGCTCACACGTCCTCCGCCTTAGGGGCTGAGAAAGAGAAGCCAGGCAAAGCAGTGACAGAGTTCAGGTGTCGTACCCCAACGCTAATCCTGGGCACTTTGCAGAGCTACCTGTAGAAAAGGTGAAAAAGATTTATCTTGGTTTTGCATTCCTACTGATTATCCAACCCCTAGGCATCTCATATAGAAACATGAAAAATAATGTATATACCTTTTTTGTAACATGTTGTTTATTATAATGTAATTTCATACAATGCTTGCTTTATAATTACTTCGTATCTGTTGTCATGCTATAAAATATTTAGTTATGTCATTCACGTATATATATAATGCATCTATGTAATATCCAAATGAAATATACATGATACACATATAGAACACACATATATAAAACGTTATGATTATATATCTATATATTTGATTATTGATTATTTTTATATGTAATATGCTTAGTTGTTTAATTATGCTTCTTGGTTTAATTATAACAAAATTTTACATATATAAAACATGTACGAAACATTTATGTTACCTTTAGTCTATATTCACACTTTTTCATTATTAGAATGCCTAAAACATATATTTTATAAATATCTATAAATAAAAAACATGTAACCTTATAATAACAACATATAATATGTTATTATAACACCTTATTAATTTGCGCTGCACTCTGCCCTAGATCATGGCATAGCTGAACCAAGGACAACACTGGGGATGTAGCAGTTATGTGCCTGCATCCCATGCCTGTGGGAACCAGAATGGAGCTGCGACCAGATGTGGAGATGGGGGAAAGCTAGAGCCTGACCACATTCCTTACAGAACAGTAAGGTTCTGTTAAACTGTACTTCCCTTCAATTGGACCTGTATATCTGTTTTAAATCGTCATTTTCTCCAAGAACCAGATTTTATTTCAATTTTTTAGCATTTCCATTAAGGCTTATGAAACTACAACGACTAAAATAGTAATATTATATAACTACTGTTACTGTCTGTAAAGTTGGCAGGGAAAAAGCACAATTTGCTAGGCTGACCGCACCAAATAAGCAGAGTATGCCCTCAAAACTCAGCAAGGTTAAATACTTAATTGTTATAAATCTGCCTCACAGAGTAGGTCCGGAGCCCCTTCCCAAGACAAACGCATGGTGGGGAATACTCACTCCATGGAAGGATGGGGATCACCGGCGAGGTCCCACTTGGCTGCAGGAGCTTCCACGGACACCTTTTTTTCTGGCAGCAGCAGCGGCTCCAGGGCTTGCAGTCCTCCTTGAAAAGAAGAATAGTAACAATTAGCAACAAACAGCAGCAGCAGTACACTTTATCAAGAAAGCTCTAAAAGCATTATTTTTAAGATGACAGAGTACTGGCAATTTTTATTTTTAATATTGTCGCTGTAACCGAGTACATGTGTGAGCACACCCACACCCTTCTGCAGCAGGGTTTGCACCCTGTGCACGACGAGCCCCGGATCGGCCATGCATTCAGCGTTGGTGGGTATTCGGTTTCTATTGCCAAAGCTGTCGGTCCGTCCTCTCACCACTGCTCCGACACCTGCATCCCACAGCCAGGTAGGCATTCATTTCTCTGAATTTTGCCTTGTCGGTCAGGAAGCAGAAGTCATCGCACGGGAGAAGGGGAGGAAAAAATAACTGGGGGAGGGGAAAAAAAAAAGCTTCTCTAGAAAGGTGCTTTCATTTCGAAATGGCCGATTCCGATTTTGCTCATCCAGTTTCCCAGGCTTGAAATCGCACTTGAAAAGAAACGATTACAGGCGTTTCCTTATCAGCATTGTTGTTAGGGTTACTCCGAGCCGAGGCAGGAGAAACCTTCTGTTGACATTTCGACTTTTTGCCCACCCGAGAGAAGGAGGCGTTTGTTGTGAGAGGGTGTTGCACACGCTTATGTTCACCATCCCTCCCCTCCCAGGCGCTGCCACTCTGCGTCCCCACCTGGCGCCTTTCCCGCGGCTCCCCGCAGTCCCGGAGCTGCCCCGATCCCTCTCCCCGCCGCCTCCAGCCGTGACCATCCGAGCTGGGAGGGGGAAGATGCGC